CAAAACTGAAAGGGTTCAAGAAAAGCTCTCCATAAATGGTCCGATATCTGGAAACCCCATATTACAGTACAGCTCTAGAGACTTTTACGATTGCTCTGGAATGAGATGACCCTCATTTCTCTAAATACCAATTTGAGGAGAAAATTTCTGATACTAGAGAGCTTTTTAATATGACAGACTGGGGTATAAGAAAATGGATTTCAAGCTAAACGAGACAAATTCCAGCTTAAAAACACATCATCTCCTTTTAACAATTTGGGAAATTAACAGTCGGACCAGCTTATGTAGGACACTTTTATTAATGGAGTCAACATCATCTGAAGTCTTTAACATGAATCTGAGGGGTTGTTTTGTTGTTTGGGTTTTTGTTTTGGTTTGGTTTTTTTACACCTTAGCTGCACCAGATGTTATAAACGCAGTGAAATCCTGACGCTTGTGTTATTTGGGTCACTCTAGGTGATAACTATTAAAAACAGAGGAGATCATTTCTATCCCCAGAGTGACACCGAGCTTTCACAGGAGATCTTCTTGAATAATAACATTAAGAGGGAGGACAGGGTGCCTGGTCCCTCGCCTTTGTGTATATGCAGATTGGATTAGGAGATTCTACAGAAGAGCAAGCTACCTCCTTTTCCTCTCACTCAAGCTAGTGCTTATCCTTCTGCAGGGTTCTACCTGTCAAAAGCCCAGACATTATCCCATCAGAGGAAAGAGGTAGGCAGGAGGGACTCCTGAAGAGTCTCCTGCCCCCCGAGGGTCCCCGGGGCTCTGGTCAGGCGCCCTGGCAGAGCGCCTGGGAGAGGCACCGCTTCAGATGAGGACAAGCTGGACGTCGGCTCTCACAGAGCCCGAGGACCACTCGGGAGTCCTCCGATCTCAGAGCCCGCTCCAGACAGAGGAGGAGCCTGGCTGGATCTCCATGACCCAGTTATGGACCACATACTTCTAAGAATAACTTTCACATCAAGCGAGGAGAATTTTCTTCTCCCGGCCCCATAAACATATCCCTTACCCTCATTACATTTTTATTAAGACGTCCCTCAGCACGAGTGCCAAACAAACCTTTAAGAGACTTGGATTTCTTCAGCACGCACACAGCCAGGAGCATGTGTGCATTTCCCTATCTCAGACAGCGCAGAGCAGACACAAAGAGGAACCCTCTTCGTAGGATGGATGCCCGGAGAAGCACAGACCAGGGAGAAGATGGCAGAATAGCGGAAAGGAGCATGGGACGAGAGCCCCGGCTTCTACAACTGTGGGCTGTTCACTGAGACAAAAACATTGCAGAGAAGCCAACGAGGTCAAACATCCTTTCCCCTCACCCACTCATTTGATAATAATGATTGAGAAAGTTTGCATTCATAAAAGGCACAGAAGTATCGCATGCCCTGAAAATACAATCCTACCCGCCTTTTACGAATAAAACAAATCTTCGAGGGGGGGGGGAAATAGGGCTTATAACAAAATTTTTCAACAGACCCTTAGCTAGAGCAGCACTAGTGGGCGCAGCTATAATTACAGCAAACCTACATAATGCGTCTGAACTAGCTTAGCCCTTTCCCTGCAAGCAGAGAAGCTGCCACATCAGTAACTCCGTTGCTAGGGCAACTGCTTACTTTCCATATCAACTGCAAACTCGTTGCTATGGTGACACATATACAAGAAAAATTCCTCTCTATAGCCAAGGACCAGATGGTAGGGAAGTCAGGGAAGTCATGGGCTAACGGGCTGTACTAAATGGGACACACACGGGAGGACGTTTAGATCTGTACGTTCACAATAGGATTAATCCGAGTGACTGAATTCACAGGTCCGGCAGTATAAACAAAGCCAGGGAACTCCTCGTCTACTCCCCATCATGTGATACTTCGTACTCTGGCCAACTATTATTAAACTGCTGAGCTCAATGCAAAGAGGTTTGTACAACCAAGGGCTCAGCGTTTTCCCTTCTTCAGCCCAGCTCTCTGTCTCGATCCAGGAGATCAGCCTCATCGCAAAGTTACATGAATAGTCACTCTGTCGGCTTGCCAGGTAAGCCTGATGGCATTGCAGCTGAAGTGGAATAGCAGCAGTGCATAAACAAATCCGAGGAGAAAAATGTCTTTTCCCGGCATTCCACACCAGACCTAAAAGCACCAGGACAGCGCAAGTCGAAAACTCAAGCAATGCAGCCTGTAAGTCTTTTTCTTCCCCTCTTGTGACAAGGATCTCACATCAGGAAAGGCAAGCATTCATACGCAGGCAGAAAAAGCTGCGTACAATTAAATACATATTTAGCCCCATGAATATAAATTAGTGGAACCCAAGATTGAGGAAACTACTATGCAGAGGGAATTCAAAAAAGAATTAAGTGTTCAGCAGAATTTTTTTTTAGAAAAACGATTACTGAAAGGCTACACAAACACTGGAAAGCACAACTATGAGAAGAAAAGCTTCTAGCTTTTCGCAGTGTGTCAACGCACATCAACTGGCAAATGCCTGCAATTCCCAGCACTGATTAACTCCTTCCCCCCGTACTGTACACGTTTCAGAGCCTATCTTGTTAGCATTTTATAACTTGCCATTTGCTAAATGCTTTTTTTCCCCACGTAAAAACAGTAAGACGGGCAGACTCCAAACCTGCAATTTGCAGAATTCGGCTGCAAAGGGGAAGAAGTGGCACAAAACAATTCCTTACAGAGAAGAGTCCCCCGCTTCCCCTGCCCCAAGCCCCAGCTCAAAACCGGAGAACCCTTTAGATGGACACCTTCCTTCTGAACAGCAGAGATGCTGGCTGCAAGGTACCCGAATCAGCCCCGAGTGTGCGTGCGCACACACACGAAGGTATTTTCAAAGCCAGCAGTTGAAGTTTACTGCTTTCCAAGTCCACAATTAGCCGTCAAGCACCTGATTCAGCAACTCTGACCAAGTGCCAGTTCTGCGCTCGCTCTGCCCCATCCCTTGGCCTGGACACGAGAAAAACCCAGCAGGGGATTTAAATGACCTGCCTTGGTGCATTTTACGTTTGAGATTCTCATCTCATTCACCTTAATGCTGGCTACCTGCAGTTATTGGCATCTCTGATGGAAGAAATTCCTTCTCATAACCTGGGATTTTCCAGGAATGAACAAAACCCCACCTCGTTATTCATACAGGCAAGGCCTCCCACCACACCTTGTTGTCTAGCTATGTAACCATGGCTCTAATCACGAATTCAAGACGTAGGTGACTACTCATGCATTGTGCTCTGCCACTTCCCTGTGGAGAAGCAGCACGTCGTGGTATTGTTCATACAAGCTCAGCAGACTGCCGGATATTTGACAGATAGACATGAAGACAAGTTCCTCATAGGAAGGAAGCTGTAATCTAAATAGTCAACTTGTAAACAGAGGAAGAGGGACAGAACAAAACACAAATGGCCATGTTAAACACATGCCGTGCCAGTTACAATATTTGGGGCTTTTTTTAAATGTTTTGTGTGAAGGTTTCTTATGGTCTAGGACAGGGTCATAAAAGTCTGGTGTGCCACTTGTTGTTATAGTTTCACTTCCAAACAAGAATTTAAGACTCTGGTTTACACAAAACAAGATCCAGTTCAGGAACAGGTTTTTTTAATCTCATACACAATCGTTCACAGCAACTAATTTATAAAAATACCAACATACAGTGTGCGATTGCCAATATGTGGACAGTGGATTCTAGGGAATGACATTTTAAAAAAAAAAAAAAAATAAAGATAAGAGAGTCCATTTTTTAAAAAAAAGAAAGCTCCAGAGAAAAGAAAGTTAAGTAAACTGAAATGAAAAGCTGCTAGTTTAGGGTAATGTATGACTCTTCCTCTAGAGTTACTTGAGCTGCTATTCCACAGCATTTAAAGTTAAATCACACACGCAAAATAGGGAGAACAGCACCACCAACAGAAGTCTGGTTTCAGGGTAACCAGTTACAAGACAACGACAGCATTTACTTCACTGAAATACAAAAGTTGAGTGCATCTATTGTTTCTGCCACAAGAAAGTGTCCACTTTCTGATCTTCAGCCAATTTTAGAGACAGACAGTCAGTGATGTGATTTTACCCACTATTTATTTCACTAACCTGTGAGAAGGCCTGTGAAATTATTCTGCAAGCTGATATTTTTATCGGTATACTCGTACTTTGCCAAAGATTCATCCAGACCACTGCCTCTGGAGACGGTCCCCTTCGGAAACTGATGCCTGCTCCCAGGCAGACTGACGCGGTAGAAGGCTACGCAAAGGCCTGCCTCCGCCGCTCGGCTCGCTTCCCCCTTCCCTCGCACACAGCCTCTTCCTGCAGACGCCGCTGAGGATTCAGCGATGAAACCAGCCGACAACAACAGAGACCCGAAACAAAAATGTGCTCCCCAGGCTTCTGCCACCACACCCGTTGCAGAAGCCACACGGGCCCAGGGAGAGAATGACTGAAATTGTGGTGAACGGTAACTTTCACCTTTGATGCCAGACCTATCTCCCCTCTTTGAAGAGTTTCTCTAAAACCTGCTTGAAATGGAACGAAGCTTCATCACCAAAATTCAGAACTACTTCTGTTCGTTTAAGAGAAAGAAAAGTTTTTTCGGATTATAACACAGACTGGGGAAAAAGCAATGGACTCTTACATAAGGCATACCCTTTCACTATACATTTGTATAAGCCAAGAACAGCAAGCAGCCTATTTATAACATGATTACATTCATCTAGTATAGCTGGAAACCATTACCACAGCGTGATAACTAAAAACAATATTTAACCACTATGCATGAAGACACCAGCTGGGGGGAAAAGAAAAAACACACACACACCGAGTACTTTCTTACAGATGTCTAGACAATGAATTTAATAAAATCAGAATGAGCCATGCTAAAGAAATGCTGGCTCTCTGAATTTAATGAACTATGTTACCAGGGACAGCGTTGCATATTCTGCATTTCCCTTATGGACACGTTCTGGGATTAGCAGGTGAATATTTTCAGAGCCAGACAGGTTTCCATAGTTCCAAACTTACCTGACTTCTGTCTTTGTCCACTTTCTTAAAACACTTATTCAAGGATAGATTATGTCTCACAGAATTTTTCCATCCAGTGGGTGCGTTTGCAAAATACGGAAAGTGTTCCAAGATCCAGTTGTATATATCCTTTACGGGCAGTCTTTTGGTTGGCGAGTCCTCAATGGCCATAAATATGAGGCAGCTAAAGGAATAAGGAGGTTTGCAGTTGGGGTTCTGCTTGGCATCGTAGGGCATGTCAGAGTGGGCAGGAGACGGCGGCGTGTCATCACCGATGTCCTGAACGGGGCTAACGCTCCTTAACACCGAGTCCCCAAAGCTTTTCAGCAAGTTCTTGCTCTCGTGTAACCAGTTCAAATTAGTTAGTTCTTCATCTTCCATGGCCCCTTTATCTAATCTGATGGCAGGCAAAGAGAAATCTAGGTCCTCGTCATCGTGAAGTGCCTTCGATAAATCGCTATCTTGGTAACGTTGGCTCAATCCGCTGGGAACGCTAATTCCTGAGCCCTCTGGCTTCTTACTGGGAGGCATGACTGGACCCATTTAGACAGAGACTCCTGGGAGAGCAAACCCAAAGGAAGGGGAGAAAGAAACAGAGAGAAAAGTTAGCTCATAAAAAGATACTGCATGACATTTTGACAGCTTTTCCCTAACTGGTCATTCGGCCTTTTGCCACCTGTATTAAAAATGAGAGACTCGCATAAACACTCATTCACAGCTGTTGAGTAAAATAATCTAAAGTCAGGACAAGGGAAGAAATTTCAGTCGATGGAAGAAGACGATATTCCTGATACACCTCAGGTCTGCACGTATGGGAAGCCCCACACAGAAAATCCTAAAGACATGTCCCTTTAGTGACGAATACGCGTCTCAAATCATTGAATACTCTGATTGTATCACTTTAATAAGCATGTAAAGTAAAAAAAAAAAAAAATAAAATAAAAAAAATAGAGGGGCTTAAGGCCAGTTGCTTCAGATTAAGTTCAGCTGTTTCACTTTTGTGGACAATACAACAGCACCATGATTAAAGTCACTCTGGCTAAAAGCTGAGGCAGACAACTATCCCATCTGACTACAGTTGCAGTTGCAACAAAACTCAGAAATGACAGCAGAACTTCAAAACCAGCAAGGGTGGGAGAAGGGAAGAGGGAAAGCAGCACACGAGCTTTGGGACCAGGGCCAAGACACGGGGAAACAAGCGGCAGAGGAACAGAGCATTTTAAAAATGTATGTAAACAAAGATTTTAACATGAGGTGAACTGTATTTCAAACATGGTAGAGAACAGAGCCAGAAAGACTGCTGTGAAGTTCAGCAGTGGGCCGGGAGAGGCGGGACGAGCTGCTGAGGGTGCTGCACCAGCAGGCCCCGGGGGGATACCTGCGAGTGGCAACATTTGGGAGGACCCGAGCCCTTCAGAAGCTGGGTGAAGTCGGGCGCCTGCCCAACTCAAGAGAAGCAGAGAGGAGCCCGACAATTCTACTTCAGAAGCAGGGGACAGGCTCCCTTAGCTTCTCCATACAGCAAAACTGCCAGGATTGAGGTCTGGAGACGTGAACAGCAGTGAAATAAAAACTGCAAAGAGTTAATAATGGATTTAAAAACAACAGAACTTCCTGCACAAAAGCTGAACAAGAGCAAAATGATTCCCGGTATCTAAACCGTATGCTCAGCAGTTCCCTGAAGTCACATAGTCACACACTCGATACTGTAAACGAAAGGCAAAAAAACTACAGGTAGCAACAGAATGAATCACCTGTCTACGGGAAAAAAAGAGCAAGATAGCCATTCTGGGAAGGAGAAGTGACGGACTTTATTTTAGCTGTTACAAAAGGGCAAAAACGAAGGAGGACAGTTCCTCGGGTCGCTCTACAAACACTTCACCCCAAAGCAGCCATTACTCAAAAAGAAACATACAAAACTTGTACGCACAGAAGCCCGTTAATACGCACCACCACCCAACAAGCTCCGGGAACATGTGTGGTTTTACACAAGTATCTGGAAGAGGAAAAAATACCGAGGCAGATGTAAACACCGGGAGGCCAAACTTACGCAGGTCCCACTTCCTAGCTTTCAAAACAGCGTCCAGCACAGCCAGAAGGTAAACACGAGTATCGCCGGCGTCCAGGGGCACCGGCATCGCCTACCTACGCCGCACGCTCAACTTTGACTCCAAATGGAAGTTACGTCCCATGAGCTTCTAAACAGGAAAATTGTATGATGGCTGACAGTAAAGTAATTTAATTGCACTGTTGCTATGACAACACGCTGCTCTCTTTCTGTTTAATTTGCTTATTTGCCAGTATCCTCCCAAAGGGCCGTATCGTACCACCCCTTTTTTTCCCCTCTTTCTTTCCCCCCCTCCTCGCCTCCCCAGGCAGCGGTCCGCACGGCTGCGGGGGCGACCGGG